GAAAAGTAAGTAGAAACATATCGAATATTGGCTGTAAAAAGAATGAAATACAAACCAAATTGAATGGAAAACGATATACGAACAAGCAAGACAGATCAATGTATAAAGCCCAAAAAAGGATAATCTCTCTATGAATATCAATAATCTTTTCAATATGGTAGTGTGTAGATGTTTTGGTCTCCCTTCTACAGAAATGATAGCCACTCTTCTTATAGTGGAGGGATCTACTTTGAATATAATTAACAATACATAGTGGGGATCCCATGATAGATTAATTAATTAGTTTTTTCTTAATTCCCGTTGAGATTTTTTCCCTTAGTGCGGCTATAATGGCTCTTGTCTCTTAGATCGATCTTGGCCGGACCTAGTAGTGGTCGATCTCTAGGTTTCGAGCTCGATATTCACTCAGGCTAGGAATTGACTCGAGCTCGATATTAATTCGGGCTCGGTATTGACTCGGGTCTGATATTGACTTGGGCTCAGAATTGACTCGAGCCCTGGCTCTTGAGCTCGATAACACTTCTTCATATCATAGCTCGATATTGACTTCGATTTCAGTATTTATCGGTCCCTAAATCCTGATTAATTATATGAAGGTCGAAACCGGTTTTGACCGTATACAATGATGATACCTCAACTGGATATGGTTCGATCTTGCATTAAACACTAGATTCTTGGCAAGATGAATTACACTCGGGCTATCACTGAAATATTCATAATTGTCTTGCTCTTTACCTAGCTCTTTAAGAAAATTCTTGAGCCAAGTCATCTCTTTTCCAACTTCTGAGATTGCCATGTACTCTGCTTCAGTGGTAGATAGAGCAACACTTTTCTGAAGTCTAGACATCCAGCTAACAGCAATACCACCCAAGGTGAATACGTAGCATGTGGTAGTTTTTCGACTATCCAGATCGCCGCCTAAATTGCATCAGCAAAACCTTGTAAGATAATATTGCTCCTTTTAAAACAAAGTGTCATACCTGAGGTGCCTTTAAGATATCGTAATATCCATTTTACACCTTCCCAATGCTCCTTTCCTGGATTTGACATGTATCTACTGACAACTCCAATTGCATGGGCTATGTGAGGTCTAGTGCAAACCATAGTATACATCAAACTTCCTACTGCTTAAGCATATGGAACTTTGGACATGTACTTCCTTTCTTCATCTGTCTTAGGTGATTGGTCCTTCGACAGATTAAGATGGCTTCCGAGTGGAGTGCTTCTGGTCTTTGCATCATGAAGGTTGAACCTGCTTAGTACCTTATGTATGTACTTTTCTTGAGATAATTTTAAGGTTCCTTCAGACCTGTTTCTGCTAATCCTCATCCCAAGCATTTGCTTAGCTGGTCCTAAGTCTTTCATTTCAAACTCCTCTGCCAGTTGTTGCTTAACCCTGTTGATCTCATTTATGCTAGATTGTGCAATTAGCATATCATCAACGTACAACGGTAAAATGATATATGATATATCAAAAATTTTGATATAACATCAATGGTCCATCTCACATCCTGTGAAACCATTATTATGCATGAATCCATCAAATTTCTTGTACCATTGTCGGGGTGCTTGTTTTAAACCATACAAACTCTTCTGCAACTTACACATAAGGTTTTGTTTACCAAAAATTTGAAAACCTTCAGGTTGCTTCATGTAGATGTGTACCATGCAAGAAAGTAGTTTTAACATCTAGCTGCTCCAAATGCAAATTTTCTGCAGCTACGATACTTAGCACCAACCTGATAGTAGTTAATTTGACTACATGAGAGAAGATCTCGGTGTAGTCAATCCCTTCATTCTGCTGAAAGCCTTTTACTACTAATCGTGCTTTGTATCTCTTCTTACCATCACGCTCTTCCTTAACCCTGTACACCCACTTGTTTTGCAATGCCTTATTTCCTTTTGGTAATTCTGTAAGTATCCATGTTGTATTCTTTTGAAGAGAATTCATCTCTTCTTTCATGACTAGCTTCCACTTATCAAAGCTTATCACCTGCATTGCTTCAACAAAATTCTCTGGTTCTCCAGCATCAGTCAGAAGTAAATAGTGGAGAGAGAGAGAGAGAGAGAGAGTTAACCTATCTGGAGCATTCGTGACTCTTTTAGATCTCATTAATGTAGGTTCAGGATTAACTGATCCCCGAATTTGATTCAAGTCCTGACTCCAGATCTGGTTCTCCATCTGATTCTATCTCTGGTTCTGGTTCTGGTTCTGATTCTGATTCTGATCCAGATTCGGCTTCTAGTTCGGCATCTTTAATTTTAGATCCAGTTGTAGTCTTTCTAGCCACTTCATTTTTTGAGATTTCTTCTAAGTCAATTATTTCAGATGTCTGCTACTGGTGCTGGTTGGTTCTACTTCAAGCTTGTCTTTGTACATCATATTTTCATCAAATGTGATATTTTTGTGTCTTAGGATCTTTCTATTCTGATCATCTCAAAATCGATAACCAAAATTATCATCACCATAGCCAATAAAGAAATATTTCTTGGCATTAGGATCAAGCTTATCTCTATCATTAGAGTTTACATGCGCATAAGCAACACAACTATATATTTTCAGATGTGAGAGAGTTACCTCCTTTCCTGTCCATACCTCCTCATGAATTTTAAAATTCAGTGGTACAAAGGGTCCCCTATTTATGAGGTAAGTCGCCGTGTTAACAGCCTCAGCCGAAAAGTACTTCGGCAATCCAGAATGTATTCTCATACTTCTAGCCCGTTCATTCAGGGTTCTGCTCATCCTCTCAGCAACGCCATTTTGTTCTGGTGTTCGAGGAACTATCTTGATCATTCTGATACCATTCTTAGAGCAGAATGCTTTAAACTCTTGACTATCATATTCTCCTCCATTGTCAGACTTCAGACATTATAACTTATGACTTGTCTGATTTTCAACTTCACCTTTCCATCTTTTAAAGGTAACAAACACATTAGATTTATTTTTCAGAAAATAAACCCATACCTTTCTTGTGGAATTATCAATGAAGGTGACATAATAGTGTGAGCCTCCCAGAGAAGTTACAGATGCTGGTCCCCACACATCTGTATGCACTAGTTCCAGTTTCTCTTTCTTTGGTGTCCTTCCCACCTTTGAGAAATTAACTCTCTTTTGTTTCCCGTAAATGCATTCTTCGCACAAACCTAATTTAACATGCTATAGGTTTGGCAGCTTTTCTTTGGATGCCAATAACTTCATTCCCTTCTCACTCATATGCACGATCCTCCGGTGCCACAATGTTGTATCACGATCATGATCAATTGTTGTTATAGTATCTTGTTGTATTGTAGTTGCATATAGTGTTCCCTTCTTGAAGTCTCGTGCCACAACCAAATTTCCTTTGGTTATATTTCACGATCCGTTACCGAATGTTGTTGTATATCCTTCACTGTCAATTTGACCCATAGATATCAGATTTTTCTCGAGGCCAGGAATATGTCAGAAATTTTGCAATTTCCATAGCGTGCCTTATGAAGTCTTTATATGAACTTCACCTTTCCCGACAATGTCTAGAGATTCGCCGTCTGCTAGATAAACTTTTCCAAAGTTTCCAGCAATATAATTATGCAATAATTCTTTGCATGATGTAGAGTGAAAGGATGCACCTGAGTCGAGAATCCAAGATTCAACTGGACTGTCTGCACAACAAATTAGTGCATCACCGACTTGTTCAACAATTGCATTTGTTGAATTATCATCCTTGTATTGATCGTTCTTCTTCTTATTTGGCTCTCTACACTGACTATTGTAGTGGCCCTTTTTGTCGCAATTCCAACACATAATGTTTTTGTGATTTTTGAATTGCCCTCTTCTCCTTGACTTTGATCTGCCACGACTATGACTTTGTCCTCTTTGGATGTTTCTCCCCTGCTTTTGGTATTCAAGGCAGATCCTGGGGAGTCACTTGATTCTTTCCGGCGAATATCTTCGCTTAGAACCAAGTCGTTAAATATCATCCAATTTGAGTTTGGTACTTTCCGATGAACTGCCAACTGCAGTTACTGTTGCAGACTAACTCTCCGGTAGAGATGATAGTAGAATCAATGCCCTGATTTCGTCATCGAATGTTATATTGACATAACTCGACTGAGTTAATATTACATTAAACTCATTGATATGTTACGTGACAGATCCACCTTTTGTCATCTTTAAGTTGAACAATCGACGCATCAAATAGACTTTATTTGAAGCAGATGGCTTCTCGTACATATTTGATAACGCTTTCATCAGGCTTGCAGTGGTCTTGTCGTTAATGATGTTAAACATCACCTTTCGTGTTAGCGTCAAGCGAATCACACCAAGAGCTTGGCGATCTAATATATCCCAATTTATTTTGGCCATAGTCTCTGGTTTTACCTCGGGCAGAGGTAAGTGTAATTTTTTCTAGTACAAATAATCCTCTATTTGCATTTTTCAAAATCCAAAAATTTTACCATTGAACTTGTCAATCTTAACTTTCCCCTTCCAATGCCATTTTTCACAAAAAGATTTATGTGAATAATGCATGTGAATAGTAATGATGATCAATAGTGTCGCACTATTCTTGTAAATAGTACATGCACCAGTACCGTACTTTTCTACCAGAATCGCACCGTGCTCTGATACCAGTTGTTGGAAAACGTGTCCGGCTAATAGAAGGGAAAAATATTTGAAAGAGAAGCAATAAATTGTACAAGACAAGACAAGATAAGATTTATGTGGTTCGACAATTTTGCCTACTCCACGGCCACACAAAGAATAGCTCATAATTAATTGCAGAGAGAAAGAAGAAGTTGAGTGATGATTATCAAATGAAAATGCATACCCCTTTTATAGGCATTTGAATGCCCTGCCGATTTAAGCGCTTACATCATACGAATGCCGATGTAAGCACATACATCATAAGAATGCCAATGTAAATGCTTGCATCATAAGTTCATCTCTTTTTGATTTTTCTTTCTTTTGTTTTGTCCACTTTTCTTTCTTTCACGTACAACTTCAGGTTTGCTACTATCAAAAACAAATTTTGTTTATCACTTGTAATGCTCAAATTTTGGTGTCTTGGGATTATGTTTGAAAAGCACAAGGGTACATTCAGTCACATCGAGAACAAAAAGGTAACAAGAATTAGAAGATAATTAGTAAGCTTTGTTAATTTAGTTAAAGGGCTTTCAGCTGAACTTGTTTTCTGTTCTAAATTCAGATTCTGACCCGCTTAGATTGGTTTGGATGGTGCACTTGGGATGTTTCTATAAAGAAGTTAATCCAACTGGTATCAAAGCGGGTCTTCAAAGGTTTGATTATTCACTGCGCTTATGAAATATCTCGCTCTTCAAATGGAATATGCTGCAAATTTTCCTCTCTCAGTAATATAATTTTGATTCTGTTTTTGAAGTTTCTTAGAAGGAGGATGTTCACCAAAATTCTTAATCATAGATGATGGATGGCAAGATATAGTCAATGGATTTTAAAAAGAAGGCGAACCACTTACTGAAGAAATACAGTATGTTCTTTTCTATTCTCAGTTCTTGAAAAACCTTCAAGCTTCTTGAATGAGCAAAAAGTACTCAATGCCTATTTCTTTATTTATAGGTTTGCCACTAGATTAGCTGATATTAACGAAAATAGCAAATTCAAGAGCTTAGATTTAGATGGCTCGTGCACAAATCTCAAAGAGCTCGTTGATACCATCAAACAGAAATATGGCCTGAAGTAAGATCTAAAACTGAATGTAATTTTAATTTTTGTCAATTTTATGCTTTCTAACTAGTGAACTTACTGATTAATACAGATACGTCTATATGTGGCATGCTTTAGCTGGTTACTGAGGAGTTCTTCCTACATCCGAAACTTTGAAAAAATACAATCCCAAGATCGCGTATCCGGTTCAATCCCCTAGAAACTTAGGAAATATTAGAGATATTGCCTTGGACAGCTTAGAGAAATATGGAGTTGGAGTAATAGATGCTCAAAAAATCTATGATTTCTATAATGATCTCCACAATTATCTTGCTAGTTGTGGAGTTGACGGCGTCAAGGTTGATGTCCAAAACTTGATGGAAACATTGGGTTCTGTATTTGGTGGACGGGTGTCACTTACTAAGAAGTATCATGAAGCTCTTGATGAATCTATTGAGAGGAACTTCAAAGACAATAACCTGATTTGTTGCATGTCTCATAATTCAGACTCTATTTACAGATTTATCTTCTATCCGACCTATCTCATTTTCAAATTTCATCAGCACCAAATTATGTCTTGACTGTTTTAGTGTATTTTCAGTTCAAAGAAGAGTGCAACAGCTAGAGCATCAGAAGATTTCATGTCTAATGAGCCGACCTTCTAGACCTTACATGTTACAATAGTGGCTTATAATAGTCTTCCACTCGGGGAAATAGTAGTGCCAGACTGGGACATGCTCCACGTAAAAATTCCCGTGTTAATACCATTTACGTCATATACAGCTGGAATTTATAAAAATTGAAGTAGAGTTCTCTGAAATGCTAATACTTGCTCTTTCATGTTGTAGAGCAATCACAACACTGCTGAGTTCCACAGTGCAGCAAGAGCATTAGTGTAACGACCCGACTTGTCGTTTTAAGAATTAACGCCCCGTTCAACGAATTAAGATTTTGAGCAGCTTCGTATTATGTGTATTGACTTGCATGCGTGGTTGAATTCAGTTACCGGATGATTCGGGGTAATTTAGGACACTCGATCCCTAAAATGGAAGCTTAAGTCTTGGGATTTTGACCATAGTCGGGAATGTGTGAAGATGACTCCGGAATGGAGTTCCGTCGGTTCCGTTAGCTCTGTTGGGTGATTTTGGACTTAGGAGCGTATTCGAAAAATTATTTGGAGGTCCGCAGTGGAATTAAGCTTGAAATGGCAAAGGTCGAATTTTTGGAAAGTTTGACCGGGGTTGACTTTTTGATATCGGGGTCGGAATCCGATTCTGGAAATTTGAATAGTTTCGTTATGTCAGTTATGACTTATGTGCAAAATTTGAAGTCATTCCGGATTGATTTGATGTATTTTGGCACAAGATATAGAATTTGAAAGTTCAAAGTTTATAGATTTTGATATGAGGTGTGATTCGTCGTTTTGATGTTGTTCGATGTGATTTGAGGTCTCGAGCAGGTCCATGTTATGTTATGGGACTAGATGGTGTGATTGGATAGGGTCCCAAGGGACTCGGCTGAGTTTCGGGGTGGTTTCGGACCATTTCTAGGCCATTTATAGCTGCTGGTGTTTAGCTACAGTAGTGTGCTATGCGATCGCGTAGAATTGGCCGGGATCGCGAAGCACAAAATGTGGGAAAATGGCCGGTGAATCGCAATCGCGAAAGGCCTTTCGCGATCGCGTAGAGAAACTTTTCTGCTGCACTAACCCGACTTTGGAAACTTATATCTCGCAATCTATAAGGAATTTAGAGATGATCCAAAAATAAAAGTTGTAGCCCTTTGTGTCTAGTTTTCAGAAATTTAAACTATTTGTAATTTGGAGGTGTGTACAAAAGTTGATGGTGGATACACTACAGGCTGTCCTGGAAGAGTTTGGAAATCTCTGCTACATAGGGCTAAATTTGGAAGCTTATATCTCAAAATCTATAAAGAATTGGGAGATGAGAAACAAATGAAAGTTATAGCCCTTGGAATCTAGTTTTCAGAAAGTTAAACCATGCATCATTTAGAGTTTTGTACAAAATGTTATGACCATTATACTAGAGGCTGTCTGGAAGAGTTGGGAAGTTTGTTCTTCGCAATCGCGATTGGTTTTCCGCAATCGCGAAGAGCAATTTTGGGGCTGAAAAATTTTGTGCTCCGTGATTGCGAAGAGTAAATACCTGGGCAGTAGCTATATTTTGAGATTTCGGCCATTTTAAACATATTTGGAGCTATGGAGCTCGAATTGAAGCGATTTTTGAGGCGATTTTCACCATATGGATTAGGGTAAGTATTCTATATCCCAAAGTGTTTATATTTCATGAATCTATGATTATATTCATCGTTTAATTCAGATTTTAATGGAAGAAATCAGGACTTTTGTAAAATCTTCCAAAAACGAAAATTTAAGATTTGGAGGTCGAGTTGTTATTGGAATTCGATAAAATTGGTATGGTTGAACTCGTATCGGAATGGGTGTTTGGATTTCATGAAAATTATGTCGGGTTACGAGGGGTGGGCCCCGCGTTGACTTTTGTTGACTTTTTGGAATAAATTTTTAAGTCGATGTATTATTATCCAGAATTATTTTCGATGAATTTTAATGAAGTTATATAATTAATTTGGATAGATTTGAGCGATCCGAAGGTCAATTCAAGCAAGAAGGTGATTTTGGAATATCGGCATAACTTCAAAAAGGTAAGTGTCTTGCCTAACCTCGAGTAGGGGAAATACCCCTTAGATATTGAGTATTATGTGCAAATTGTGTAATTGAAAACCATGTACGCGAGGTGACGAGTACGTACTTGGTTTATATGTGCAAATTTCGTTGATTAAAATCCTTAAACAACCTTAGGTATTAAATTGAAAATTATTGACACTTATTAAATCCTCTATTTGTCATGCCTAGATCCTTGTTTGTTGAAATTATTTTATGCGATGATTTGGTGTGATTGCCATCTTGATTTTATGTGAAATATTATTTTATTGAGTGTTCACATCCGGATATTTTTGTTAAGAATTTGTGCACATTATGGTCGAGCCATGGGCTCCTTATTGTGAAAAATAATGTATTGTTGATATATGTGGCAAGTTATAATATTTGGGCACTTGATGTGCAATTTATGATATGTTATAATATTTGAGCACTTCATGTGCAATTTATGATATGTTGTAAGATTTGAGCACTTGATGTGCAATTTGTGAAATATTGTAATATTTGGGCACTTGAGGTGCAAGTTGTATTATGCTGTGATATTTGGGCACTTGAGGTGCAATTTGTGAAATATTGTGATATTGATACGCATGCGGTGAGATAAGGGTAGATTAAAATACGTGGCTAGTAGGGAAACTACTAGAAGTCATGTGGTGATATAAGGCCAGGGTATTGAAACGCATGCGGTGAGATACAGGTGATTTGAAATGCGTGGCTAGTAGGGGAACTACTAGAAGTCATGCAGTGTGATAAGGATGGCTAAAACGCGGGATGCTATTTCGGAAAAAAATAATTTCTTTAAAATTAAATATGAAGGCTCCCGCGGTAATATAAGAAATGAGATATTGTGAATTTATTTATGATTTGGGACTACGAGGCGGTACTTCGGGAGTGCCCTGTTGATATTTCTTTATTTATGTTCTTGCCTTGGGTGATTTTATTCCATTTAATATGTAAATTCTTGTGTTCTTCCGTGATGTACTAGTTGACTTTATTATTATGTATTTTGTGCTCCTAGTTGTATTGTGTTGGATTTGGCTTTTTAGCACGAGACTTTGAAGAAGTATATTTCTAGTTTTTCTTACTGATTTTTGATGATTTAAATAAAAGAAATTATTATTATTATTTAAATTAAATAGTTTTACAACCAAACCAGTAGTTTATCAGATGCTTTCATTTAAATGCAATGTTATTTTCTTCACCCAAATGATTTCTAAAAATAAATTCAATTCTATGTTGATTTCTTACTTGATTTAAAAATTCTAAACTCACTTTAATGGAAATAAATTGATCATGTGGATCTTATATACATTGAGGATATTGGCATGTGAATTATTCGTGCAGTTATGATATGAAATGAGGGCACGGGGTGCCGAGAAATTATGATGATTTAATTATGGGCACGAAGTGCCGTGGAGATATGAAAATGGGCTGAGACCCGTATTTTTATGATTATGAAATGAGGTGTCACATGGTGACTTTTTAATTGAAGAACTATATTCAAAATATTTATTTGGAAGGATTTTTATTTTGAAAGTATTACATGAAAGAATTATATTTGAAAGATATTTATTTGAGAAAAAATATATTTGAAAGAGAGTAATTTGGTAGAATTATATGTGAAGGTTATTTATTTGAAGAATTTGATATAATTGGGTGTACTTGTATTTTTTATTTGTTGAACGATATTAAATTGTGTTTGTTGTCTTGCTGTGCATATCACTGGTTATTTTATGATATCCTTATTGTTATCTGTTTCCTACTATCTTGTATATTATATTGCACAGGCTATTAGACTAGTGAATGTCTTGACTGTACCTCGTCTCTACTCCACTGAGGTTAGTCTTGATACTTAATGGGTACCGACCGTGGTGTACTCATACTACACTTCTGCATATTTTTGTGCAGAGCCAGGTATTGGAGATATCGGACTTGAGCAGAATTAAAGCGGGACCGTAAGGATTTAAGGTAGAGCTGTTTGGTCGTCGTAGTCCCTTGGAGTCTTTTTATTTCATTGTACTGTTTATTTTTAATCAAACAGTATTATATATTCGGTCCTCGTGATCATTCCATGTATTCTGTTAGAGTTCGTGACTCGGTACTACCAGTCTTGGGAGGTTGTATATTCATATTTATTCCGTTGTTAGTTTTGGTTACTTATTTAATTAAAACAAATGGCTTCAAAATATAATAGAAATCAGCTTACCTAGTCTTAGAGATTATGTGCCATCACGACGCCTGTGGTGGGATTTTAGGTCATGACAAGTTGGTATCAAAGCTCTAGGTTCATAGGTTCTACGAGTCACGAACGAGTTTAGTAGAGTCTTATGGATCGGTACGGAGATGTCTGTACTTATCTTCGATAGGCTACAAAGCTAGTAGGAAAAATTCACTTCTTTCATTCCTTATCGTGCGGCATTTATTCAACTTGAAGCATATATCTTATGTTCTTTTTCATCCACTCGTATATGAAATTGCGCACTCGGTATCAACTATGCGCCAACGGCTTTTGATACTACAGAGGGGTTATAAGGGCGCCAGGGTTTTTCAACCGTTGTTACAACGTGTCATCCAGATCGAGGATGCGGAAGTATTTAGAGATTACTCAGTTGTGCACATAGGGGTGCAGCAGGTTCTGACATCCGGTTAATAAGTATGATCTCAAAAAGGTTTAATTAATTGCCTAATCATCACAATTGTGGTAGGGTCACGAGGTGGATGTAGATCTGAAATAGTTGGTGGTATTAGAGACTATGTAGTTCGTATGGGATTTCTATTTAGAGAAGGGTACATACGCAACCAAGGCACTGGAGGAAGCGAGTTTAACTGTCATGAGGATGACATGCGCCAAATAAACGGCTTGAGGTGTCTTATGACCGGTGTCCTACGAGCGATGAAGGTTAGTATCGTGGATCATCGGAATGTATCCTGTGGCTTCGCGCCAAGTGAGGGGAGTCCACTATCAACGATCAGATTGCGGGGTCATATGCTATATCAGTTGGGACCTGAGATGTATTTATGTGGTATTTTAAGGTTCTTCAAAACTTGTATATGATTAAGAGGTGAGATTGTATAGGATGATGCTGGAGCTTACGGTATTTCTGTGTCCTTAATAATTCTACATGTTAGTACCAGCGGGGTCACAAAAATAATTTCAGAATATTCGAGGTCCTACAGTAAGTTCTTGCAATGCACCACCGACACAGGATTCCTGTAATGGTTATTTCAATTATGCGGCACATACTCAGTGCGAGAAGCCGAACCCGCA